AAAAAAAAAAAAAAAAGAAAGAAAGAGAGACAGAGAGATACAGCAGTAGTAGAATGCTTGTCTAGCATGCAAAAGGTCACAGGTTGATCTATAGCACTTGTACTTACTTACACTTAACACACATACAGAGAAAAATGGTTGTAAAGGGCTGGTATTTATGTTATGGGTATTATAGTTAGGACATGAAACTGACAAACCAGGATGATGAGAACTTAGGATTCAATGAAATATGTTGTTTTTTGTTTTGTTTTGTTTTTAATGTTTTCCTAAGAGTTAAAATAAAGAGCTGGGAATGTGGCTTAGTGGTAGAGTGCTTGCCTAGCATGCATGAAGCCCTGGGTTCGATTTCTTAGTACCACATATACAGAAAAAGCCAAAAGTAGTGCTGGGGCTCAAGTAGTAGAGTGCTAGCTTTGAGCAAAAAGAAACTCAAAGACAATGCCCAGACCCTGAGTTCAAGCCCCAAGACTGGCAAAAAAAAAAAAAAAAGTTATAATAAAATTTCAGTTCTGATGAACGCTAACCCATAATTAAAAAAAAAAACAAACCATGAATCTATAGGCTTAATCCCAGTACTGTAAAAACCAAAAAAATGCTAAATAGTATCTTTATGGGTTAAGTGGGAGAGGGAGAGTGACAGAGTCTGGTGCTTTCTTCATGCACAGTTCATGTTCAGTCAATCCTCCCTCCCTCCCTCCCTCACACCTTTCAGTCCTTCCAGTCAGCTCTTATTTAGAACCTGTCTGCAGGGGTCTGAAGATCAGTACCAACCCTTGCCACCTCTCTCTAGTCTCCCCAGCTAAAACCCTCCTGATGATGAGTGAGAGTTAGCTCTTTTACCTGCCAAGATCCATTATTCACTAAATCAGACCCTATCCCTCAAGAGGTAGTATCTGCCCCCAGTTACCACACAAGGCAGCCTAGGAGAACCTGTAGAAAAAAACTCAACCTTGACTAAAAATCCTAACCATGTCCATGCTGTGGTGGTGCATGCCTGTAATCACAGTAATCAGTTTAAAGTTTAAAGACCCTGCTGTCTCACAAACCAAAACCCAAAAGAACAAACAAGAAAATACCTGTCCTTTTTCTTTCCCTAATCTCTCCTTCTTTCTCCCCTTTTCCAAGGCAAAGATACCCTCTGAACAAAGGATACTGTACTGGTTCCGATGCTTTGCATTTTCTTTCATTCTCTGTAACTGTTGCTGGTGACATTTTATGCTCCAAGGATTGTAGTGTTTAAGCTGAGAACTTATATTCCCCTTCTTCTCTATGTTGTAGTATACAACTTCAGATTTCTTTAGCCACTCAAATTCTTCTTCTAACTTATGGCTGTGAAGAGATAAAGATCCAATAAATCACCATGTCTCATCAAATCAGTTATCAAAGACTCATAAAGGACATTTTTGGAGTAACGAAAAGTTTGATATTTTAATGTGGTGATTTCACATGTCTATGTCTGAACTCATTAAATACTTCAAAACGAATATATTTTGTCTTATATGTATTATTCCACAGATAAATTTATTAAAATAAAATGAAAAATTAAAAGAGCTCTCACTAGCCATACAATGGACAAGGGTCTCATATCTAAAATATACCTGGAACTCAAAAAATTAAATCCCCCAACAACAAATCTTCAAAGAAACAACTGCACAAAAAATAAGTGGGCTAAAGACTTAAAGAGAAACTTCTCTGAAGAGGAAAGAAGGATGGCCAATAGACACATGAAGAAATGCTCAACTTCTCTAGCCATAAAAGAAATGCCAATCAAAACAACATTGAGATACCACCTCACCCCAGTTAGAATGGCTATAATCAAGAACTCTAGGGGCTGGGAAGGTGGCTCAGTGGTAGAGCGCTTGCC